AGAACTGTTAAGAAAAAACCCATTAAAATTTCAGCTTTCTAGCTTTCCTGACTCCTGAGTTAGCAACTTACCCTAAGAAAACTTTGGCGGGTCCACATGTGGGTACTACGAGTACCCGGAGTCTGGGTTTGAGTTCAATAAGACTTAGGTGAACGGGAAATATCCTCTTAAAATTACAGCCCTTTAGCTTTTCAAATCCCCAAGTTATCAACTCAGCCGAAAAAAACTTTGGCGGGCCTGTGCGTGGGTATCACGCACACCTGAGAGTTGGGTTTGAGCACATTAATATCCACTCACACGGAAACATTCCCTTAAGATTTCAGCTTTCTACCTTCTCAGATCCCGAGTTATGAACTTACCCGAAAAAAATTTTGGCGGACTCTCACGTGGGTACCACGCGGGTAATGGTGCTTATTTTGGGCATTGGGGCCCGTACTTGCATGTAGATTAAGTTCCCAGAGTTTCAGCTCTGCAGCTTTTATAAGTCTTGAGATGAAGTTCATAACTGAATTTTCGGTGAGTTCATAACTCGGGGATCTGAGAAGCTAGAACGCTGAAATCTTACAGTGATGTTCCCCGTTCAGGTAAGTGTTATTGCACTGAAATCCATTGCCCGGGTATGCGTGGTACCCGCGAAACGGCCCGCCAAACTTTTTTTCGGGTAGGTTCCGTACATTTAATTTTGTGGATCAGCCCAATGAAGTATGAAATACCACGCGCATATAGAGGGTCATGTTGTATAGTAAGCGAACGCTTTCAGTTCTTCCAGGAAATTTGGAGGAATAACATTTCTACTTCACTTGCTGCTATCTAAACAAAGTGTGGTATCATTGTAAAATCGGTTTTGATAGCTTTTGTCTCTAGAAAATAAAAATAGTCTCGAAATTTGATAATTTTTGGTGCACATTACATTAGAAAGCCCAGAGAACCGCTATACTTTTCTTCCAAGAATGTCCACTTCTCCAGTATCACTCTGGCAGCACTGCAGTGGCGCTTTGATGCCACTGCAGCGCCACTCTAGTACCGTTTTGGTACCACCCTAGCAATACTGCAGCACTAGTCTAGTACCACTCCAGCAGTATCGCTGTACTGTCGCCCAGATATCATCACAGTACCACTCCAGTACCATTCTGGTACCAGATTATTCGACCTTCAGTTTTTGTTCCATAGTTTTGAAGATACTGTGTAAGTCGAGCATCTACACGTATACGTAGATGTATATTTATATTCACATCTTTGTTTACTTTATATTATTTATTATATTTGTCACATCTATTATTTAGTCTATTTTTTATTTATATTTAGTCCGATATAAATATACATTTGATATAATAGACTAAATGCGACTAAGAGACTAAATGTAGACTAAATGTCCATTATATCACATTTAGTCCACATTTAGTCTATTAGTCGAATTTAGTCTATTATATCACATGCATATTTATATCGATTACATTTAGTCACATGTATTATTTAGTCGAGTCTACCATTAGTCTACCATCACATTTAGTCTACATTAGATCACATTATATTTATATTTACATTATATTTATATCACATTATATTTATATATTTATATTATATCGAGCATCTTTGTCTACAAACACATTTGTATACGGTGTATATTCACAGGTACATTCTTTACATAAATTCATGGCATCACCAATTTGGAGATGAACAATTTGTGCTGCCGGAAAGGGGTTGATTGTTTTGGAGTTTTTTATTTTTAATAATGGTAACGGTGGCAAATTTAACAACACTTATTCGTAAGAGAGGAGTGAGTGAGAGTATCTTGTTAGCCAACGTAAATAGCACACCAAGCTGCAAAATCGCAGTTATCTTTTTAAAACCAATCATGCAAAATTTCCAAAAACCCAAAATTCCCCTCACACTGGAGGCATCTGGGGAACTGTTCGAGTAGGAGTAATACATGCCAACAACCACTCATTGGCAACAACAACAACCACTCGTTGGCAAGTCTGTCTGGCAACCACCACTCGATGGCTCTCTCAGAGTTGCTTAGAAATAAGCTGAAAGTGGATCTGGCTTCCCCGCATTAAAGCCAACACCAATTTACCATCGAAACGCATAAATGAACAGTAGAGGGATTGGTTTTTCTCACCACTCCAAATAATATAAAAAAAAATATCCAGAAAGCTTTCAAAATACTATACATTTAAAAACGCTAAGCAGCTAGTGTAAAATTAAACACACAGTTTATGCTAACAGCTGTAATTATCGACTGGTGGATTTGCTGTAGGGAAATGTAGCATATTATTACAAAATAGCTTAAACAAATGATTTGAATTTGTCAGTGAGAAATTCAATCCCTCTACAATTCGCCAGTTCACTTCCATGATTAATTGTAGTGTAGCACTGGCACATGTCGGAGAATCAAAATCGTTTTAAAAAAGCTTTTCAAGTAACCGCCGAAAAAGGAAGCAGCCGAGAGTTTCAAGATTGAATCGGTGCTATTGGCCCAGTTATAAACCGGCATCTCGGCTTCTCGTACAGAATAACTGGCCAGCACGCCGACTGCCGGTACGAAAATGCGTTTTTTTTTTTTTTTTTTTTTA